TACCTACCTCCCATGGTTGTTGTGAAGATAAACAAGAGACAATATACCTAAAGTGCTTTGCAAACCTTACAGTCACATAAAAATGCTAACTCTAGCTATCATCAGGTACGTATCCAATTCTACAGGTCAAGCATAAACATATACAAGCATGTGCACAAATATAGGCACTCACTCATTAGCACACGCAATTAATTCATACACAATTAATCAACCCATCAATCAATGATCACTACTGCCAGGCACATTACAAGGTGCTGGCAATGCAAAGGCACTGAATACAGAAACAATTTTTGTTCTTAAGGAGTTTACATTCTAAGAATATTAACCCTGCCCCCTCCCACCCCTTATTGCCAGTTAAAGAATGCATATTCGCATGTAGAGCTTCGCACATATAGCTAAACTGTCACACACACATATAGGGAACTATATCTATATGGAGACATATATATGGTAGAAGATGGATGATACTAAGCCCACTTCAGGTTGCTAAAGGGAGAACAAGACCATGGGAAGAAGCCAGGATGAGAGGAATTGAGAGTCTTCATCCCTTGCTGGCTACCTTAGAGACTTTGGGAAATTTCCCTTTCACTGAAATCTGAGACTCTCTCTTGGTTGAGCATTTACCTCCTCCCACTGGGAGAGCTCCTTCATTCTGTGTGGTCTGGTATATGTTTTCCTATGTAGACTTTCTCTGATTTTTTTTTTGCTATCAATTTGGATAAAAGGGTTTCGTGGCTAAGGGCTATGCACGCTTGTTGTGGAATTGGTATTTGGTAAGAAGGAAGTCAAGCCTTGAAAACTCGGGGCATCCCTTTCTGCATTAATGAATAGAGATCAGAAATTTAGCTTGAACCTGAAAATTACATCCACTGGACTAACAATATTTAAGGAAGACAAGTAGACATCATTGTAGATTCTGGCCCAAACATCCCACTTCCCTCCTACCAGGAAATGGTTCCCTTAGAGAAGGGTGGGAGTGGGAGAGCAGAGGCTAGAGACATCTATTCTGTCTCCCTTTGAGCCACACAGGGATACCTCTGTGCTACGTGGCGGGAAGAGCCACAAGAGACCCTGACACCAAAGAGACTCTCCTTTCTCTTCTCTCTGACTTCTCCCTGTCTCTCATGCAGGCTGGGGCATTGATCTCCACTGATGAAGAGAGAGTCCCATACTAATGGGACGTAGGACTCTGGCTACATTCATACATACACACATGTGTGAACATGTATACACAACATACACATGTGCACACGCATGTATATTATGTGTAAGTACACTGTGTGGTTTGTGTTTGAGTATATGTACATGCATATATAGATCAGGTGTATGTCTACATACATACATATATACACACATAGGTATACTTATATATATGTATATACGTGTATATATATATATATGTATATATACCTATATATATAGGCATACGTATACATAGGTATACGTGTGTGTGTGTGTGTGTGTATACACACACACACTCAGTCATGCACTTATGCCTCTATAGACATACATGTTCATACTTGTGAAGATGTACATACACTAGTAATGTACTCACACAGGTAAACACATATATGTGCACACACAGAAGCACATAAACATTCACCTGCGTACTCACCCAGGTAACATGTACACTGATACATACATGTAAATGAGTTCACACACATGCACTCACTAGAAATCATTGGTCAGGTGCCCCTCTGATATGTGAGTAGAGGGGTACCACTGAGACAGCTGGGCAGTCTAATGGGCTGGGCAGGCACAGCTGTCTTCTGGGGCTGTTGGGTGCCCTGGGAAGTTCTGGTCCTCAGCCCAGGGGAGGGGCCTGGATGTTTCATTTCCGTCCTTTCCATCCCACAGAACCACATGGGCCTCTGTGGGTCTATTTTTAAGCCAAAGCTGAGCAATTTTCAGCCTGGTGCCATCACTCCTAGAGCTTGGAGAGGAGGTGGGAGAGAAGGGCGGAGCGCTCCTTCCTGTTCAGGAGCTCTGACATCAGTCTGGGATCTGCAGGAGGTCAGAACACCTGCTAATAACAAGGAGGAGGTGACTAGTAAAAGCAGCAGCCTGTTAACACCTCCTCATAGTCCACCTGCATCTACCTCCCCCAGTCCTGGGGGGTAAGTCTGTGTCTTTGATCCACACTGATCATGGGCTCCTAGATACAGATCTGGAGGGGATGTAGGTGTTTCCCACTCCAACAACCTCATCTTTACCTTGTGACCTTGAAGGTTCCTTTCTACTCCAAGTCTATGATCCTGAGGAAAAGTGAGTTTCTAATCCTCTACTTTACAGATGAGGAAGCTGAGGCCAAAGAGGGACAATGACTTGTTCAAGGCCACACAAGTAGGAAGTCACAGAAGTGAGATTGAAACCTGGGTCTTCTAATTCCAGACTCAATATTCTTTCCACTGTGAAACACTGCTCTGCTCACTATCTCACTAATCTGGTGCTCCTAGACCCCCAAAGGAACCAGGGGTAGATCTCAGGGAGTCCATAAATTTGGATGGGGGGGGGAACCCACATCTTTATTTCCCCTAACCTCTAACCTAAATTTAGTGTTTCCTTCAATTACTTAAAAATATTATTCTGAGAAGCAGCCCAAAGACCTTATCAGACTGCCAAAGGGGTCCATGGCACCAAAAAGGTTAAGCCCCTCTGCAGTACTGGGTAGAAGAAGCACCACCAGGATTTTGCTCTGCTGCAAAGATGGTATCAGAGTCAAAATAATGCTCTTAAGAATGCCCTCAAACACTAGAGAATGGCTGAGTGAATTATGATTATGTAATGGATATAATGAGGGACACCTAGGTGGCACAGAGGATGGAGTGTCGGGTCTGGAGTCATCTTCCTTAGTTCAAATCCAGCCTCACACACTGTGTGACCCTAGGCAAGTCACTTAACCCTGTTGTCTCAGTTTCCCATCTGTAAAATTAGCTGTAGAAGGAAATAGCAAACTGCTCCAGTATCTTTGCCAGGAAAACCCTAAATGCGGTCATGAAGAGTTGGATATGATTGAACAACAATAGATATGATGAAATACATTTGTGCTATAAGAAATGATAAAAGGGATGGATTTTGAGAAACCTGGGGAGACCCATAGAAACTCAAGCCAAGTAAAGCCAGAAGAATCAGGAGAACAATTTATCCAACAACAATAACATTGTAAAGACAAATAACTTGGAAAAACTCAAGAATGCTAGTCAATGTGATGACCAGACAGGATGTTAGAGGAAATGCATTGCCCACTTCCTGGCAGAGAGGCAATAGATTCAAGAAGCAAAAGGATGCATACATTTTGGGACATCAAAAATGTGGGAATTTGTCTTTGCTTGAGAGTTTTGTTTTTCTATTTTCCTTTTAAATTGGGGGTGGGTAGGAGGAAAGGAGAAAAAATAAATACTTGTTAATAGAAAACGGGAAAAAAAAATGTCTCCAAAGGGTCAAATAACATGCCAGGAATCCTCGGGAAGAAGGTACATTCATTTTGAAAATTGCTTGGAGTCCGGTGAAGTAGAAAAAATGTTGGATTTGGAGACAGTGTTTGGTTTCAATCCTGGAGTATTAGAGGTCATCAAATGTAAGTCCCTCCCTTTGTAGGTAAAGAAACTGAGTCTCCAGAGAAGTTAAAGGACTTGCCCAAGGCCACAGAAGTAGGGGGTAGCAGAGCCAGGATCATGTCTTAAGTAAATGGTAGAGCTGGGATTTGAACCCAGGTTCTCTGACTCCCAATCCAGTTTCTCTCACTCCAAAATCATTCCTAGCACCATAAGGCCAGCTTTATTAAGCACTTTCTATAGATACTGAGGCAAGTGCTAGGAAGAAAAAGACAAAAATCAAGCAATTCTTGCTCTCAGTGAACTTACAATCTACTGAGATGAAACAATATGTGCAATACATAAATGCAAAACATATGCAAAGTAATTTTAAGAGGGGACACCCAAACAAATGGGGGTTCAGGTAAAGGCTCTCCTAGGGGGTGGCACTTGAACTGAACCTGAAAGGGAGGTTGGGATTCCAAGAGGAAGAGGAGGGAGGGGAAGCATTCCAGGAGTCAGGGACAGCCTGTGCAATGGTACAAAGGTGGGAGATGTGTATAAGGCAGATAGGCCAATTTGGTTGAAGTGCATAATGCATGAGGGGGTATGATGTGAAAACAGTGTGGAAAGATAGATTGGAGGCAGAGTGTGAAGGGCTTTAATTGAAAAAAGGAGTATTTGCATTTTATTGAAGAGGGAAGAGGGAAACACTGAATCGACACGGTCAGACTTGGGCTTTGGGACTATCAATTTGGCAGCTGTGTGGAAAATGAACTGGAGAGAAAAGAGACTGGAGGCAGAGAGAGCCAATCGGAAGACTCCTGCAGCAGTCTAGATGAGAAGCGATGAGGGTCTGAATTATGCTAGTCATCAAACAACTAGCAAGAAGTGGATGGATGTGAGAGGTGTTGAGGAAAAACAAGGAAGTTCAGAAGAAGGGTGAGTTTGGGGAAGGAGAATGAGTTCTGACTGGATTGACTGACTGAGATGCCTATGGAAACTCCAAGTGGAGGGTCCAACAGGTAATTAGTGATGTGAGACTAGAGTTCAGGATAAAGATGAGACCTATATATGTAGATCTGGGAGTCATCTGCAGAGAGATGATGAGCTGGTGAAATGGGGATGGGAAATAGAAGGGAGAGAGGGAGAAGAGAAAAGGAGGAGAGAAGGAAGAGAGAGGAGAAAGAAGGAAAGAAGGGACAGAAAAAGAGAGAAAGAGGAGAGGGGGGAATGAGAGGAGTGGAGAGGAGAGAAGAGGAGAAAATGTGAGGAGAGGAGAGAAAGAAAGAGGAGAGGAGAAGAAAAATGAGAGGAGAGAAAAGAAGAGGAGAGAAGAGGAGAGGAGAAGAGGAGGAAGAGGAGAGATAATCTATATAAAGAAAAGAAAAGCGCCTAGGACAGAACTTTGTCAAGGTGATTGGGGCTTTGAAGACCAGGTCTCTGGTCTTCAAGCCTTCCACTCACTTGCCCTCGGAGCCATAGCTGTTCATGCTGTCCTCAATGGATTCATGGCTGGCTTGACGCAAGGTCCGACTGGGCATCTCCACGGCCAGGCCAGTCTCTGTGCTTCGTTGGATGGCTCCTTTTAGTCTCCGGCCATCTCCATCTAGGAAAGCAAGTGAAAGACAGAAAAAAGGGAGGGAGACATAAATACACATGGAGAGAAGAAAACTCTGGGAAGTTCTCGTTAGTTTCTCACCTGCACATTGTACTAAGAACAGCTTAAGATTATAGTTTCATGGAATATTGAGCAAGAAGGGATTTTAGAGATCAGCTAGTCAGACTCCTTCATGGGGTCAGTTAGGTGGCTCAGAGAACAAAGCACTAGACCTGGAGTTAGAAAGACCTGAGTTCAGATCCTGCCACAGACACTTACTGTGTGACCTGAGCAAGTCACTTAACCTCTCTCTGACTCAAGTTTTCAAATCTACAAAAAGAGGACAATAATAGCATTTACCTCATAGGGTTGTTGTGAGGGTCAAAATAACATATTTATGGCTCTTTGAGCACTTAAAGTGCTATAGAAATTCTAGCTCTTAAGGAGCAGCTAGGTGTGTTTCAGATGGAGTACTAGACTCAAAGTGAGGAAGACATAAGTTCAAGTCCTGCCTCAGGCACTTACTAGCTATTTCACTTATCCTCTCTCAGTATCAGTTTCCCCATCTATAAAATGGGGATAATAATAGTACCCATCTTATAGGATTGTGAGGATCAAGTGAGATATATATGTGCATATTTTACAAACAGGTAAAGCACTTTGCAAACCTTAAAGTGCTATATAAATGCTGGCTATTATTATTTCATGGAGGAAAAACCCGAGGCCCAAAGAGGTTAAACATGCTTAAGGTCACAGAAGTAATAAGCAGCAGAAGTGGAATTTGAACCCAAGTCATCTGACTTAGATCCCATACTCACTCTACTAGACTTTACTGCCCTTAAGAATCCAGTTGGATTCAGTCTTCTACCCATCACTTACTAGCCATGGGATATTGACCAAATCACTGGTCCTCCTTGACTTCAGTTTCCTCCTGCATAAAATGGGTATGATAATACTTGTACTATCCAACCCATAGGGTTGTATGAGGCAGGTTAGAGCATGTCACCCTCATGGGGGTGATACTCCATCCATTCCACTGGCTCCCCCTGGCCTCTAGGATCAGATACAAAATCATCTGTGTGATCTTTAAAGCTTTCCATAAAAGACTTACATGAACTGATGCAAGGTGAAACGAGCAGAATCAGGAGAACAGTGTACACAGTAACAGCCACATTGTGTGATGACTGACCTTTATAGACCTAGCTCTTCTCAGCAAGACAAAGATCCCAGACAATTCTGAAGGACTCATGATGGAAAATGATATCCACTTCCAGAGAAAGAACTGATGGAATCCAAATGCAGACAGAAGCATATTTTTCTTTACCTTTTTTCTTGTTTTTTTGTCTGTGTTTTCTTTTACAACATGACTAACATGGAAATACATTTTGCATGACTATCCATGTATATAAGCTATGTCAAATTGCTTGCCTTCTCAGTGAGGGGGGAAGAAGAGGGAGGGAGAGAATTTGGAACTCAACATTTTAAAAAACAAATGTTAGAAATTGTTTTTACATGTAATTGGGGGGAAATACTAATTTTAAAATATTAAATGTAAAGCCTCTCATAACTTAGCCCCATCCTACCTTTTTCCTATCTTTCTTACTCCTTACACCCCACCCCATCTCCCATATACTGTGTGCAATTCAATGACAGTGCCTCCTGGCCAGTCCATAGGGAACACTCCATTTCCAGATTCTACATTTTCTCTGACTGTCTCCTATGCCTGGAATGCTTTCTCTCCTTGTTTCCACTGCTTGGCTTCCCTGGCTTCCTTCAAGTCCCAGCTACAATCCCACCTTCTATAGGAAGCCTTTCCAGATCCCTTTTAATTCTAGTCATTCTAGGCCTTCCTTCTGTTGATTGTCTCCAATTGATCTAGTAAGCATCTTGTTTGTATATAATTGTTTGTATGTTGTCTTGTTCATTAGACTGTGAGTTCTTTGAATGCAGAGACTGTCTTTTTTTTTTAATCTTTCTTTGTGTCCCCAGTTCTTAGCACAGTCAGTTCCTGGCACATAGTAGGTGCTTACTAAATGCTTGTTGACTGAAACTATAAAATAGTATATAAACATAAGCAGTTTATTGCCCCATTTGAAGCAGACTCTGCATTGACATCCTGGGGAAAGATGCATAGAATTTTTTTTCTGGTGTCTCTCTACCCTTTATCAATTCTTTCTTCCCCCAGGTCCCTATAGTACCTCATGCTTCAGATAGCTGCCCTTCAAATAAAAAAGTAACTGTCTTGTCTCTTAAGAACCGTATCTACTAGATAAGCACTAACTAATCGAAGAGACTAGTCTCTGCTGCTGGTCCAGGAGACATATCACAGTCTTCAGGTAATGGAAGAGCTATCAGAGGACAGAAGGGACAGACTTGTTCTCACTGGTCCCCACAGGGCAAATTAGGAACAAAAGAGAAAAGTTACCAAAAGGTAGTTTTGGCCCCCAATACAGGAGAATTTTCTAACAATCGGAGCTGTCCAACAACAGCAAACAGTGAGTGAGCTCCCTGTATCTAGGAGGAGTTCAACACAGACCGGCACATTCATAGACTCACTCTCATACAAAGACACACACACACACACACACACACACACACACACACACACACTCACTCACAGATGTATGAAGATACATATACCCAGAAATAGACAAGAAGCAAAAAAGACAAACCCAGGCAAAGATACACAGATAAACACACAGACCCCAAACCAATTGTTACTGAGGTACAAGTGTACACAGATATATGCAGAGACAATTACACACATGCTGACAGGCACACAAAGACATACATAGATGGCAAGATACATACATACAGACATACACACAGAGACAGATGTACCTATATGCAGATAAAAAGTTACACACAAGCAGACAGAAAACACAGACACATAGACATATACAAACATACATAAAACAGAGACACATACAGGGGTAGCTAGGTGGCACAGTGGATAGAGTACCAGGCCTGGAGTCAGGAAGACCTGAGTTCAAAACTGGCCTTAAACACTTATTATCTGGTCAAGTCATCTAACCACATTTGCCTCAATTTCCTGAACTGTAAAATGAGCTGGGCAAGGAAATGGCAAACCATTCCAGTATCTTTTCCAAGAAAACCGAAGAGTCAGACACAACTGAAAAATGACTGAACAACGAAACATACAGATAGAATGACGCAGAGACAGTCATGTCCACATATACAGATATATACTGATGGGCAGGTGCCCAGAGAAAAATGCACACAAAGGCACACACAACTACTGACCTAAACAAAGAAAAATAGACAGAAGCCATTCCAGAGACAGACAAACAGACAGGAAGAGAACTCCTCTCTGCCCCCCACCAGGCATGATAGAAAGCTATACACAGACTCAGACAGAGACAGATGTCCATAGGAATAGAATCACACAGACCTGAAACCCCACACAAAGAAAAAGAGACCCACATAAGCACATATAGAAATGACACAGAAAGATGAACAGAAATAGATCCAGAGACCCATATAACAGACACAAATGCAGAGATGCGGTAACACAAAGATATCTCCACGTAGAGATGTGTAGCTCGGAAGATATACACAGAAAGATACATGCATACACAGAGAAATACAAATACCTCCATAGCCATTGAGATAACAACAACAACTAACATTAATGTAGTGCCTACTATGTGTGAGACACTTTGCTAAGCACTTTACAATTATCTCATTTGATCCTCACAACAACCCTGGGGAATAGGTGCTACTATTATCCACATTTTGCCAATAAGAGAACTGAGGCAAACAGAGGTTAAGTGACTTGTTCAGGGTCACACAACTAGTCAGTGTCTGAGACTGGATTTGAACTCAGATCCTCTTGATTCCAGTCCCAGTACTCTATTCACTGCATCACCTAGCTGAGCCTTATAGATACATACAACCAGAAGAAAACACGAAGACACACATGGAGACAAATACAGTGACTATTTCAGACACAGTCTCAACCCTCCCCCCCACCTCTCTCCCCTCCCCACTCTGCTGGCCTTTATCAGGGGTCAAACACTTGCTTTGAAAACTCACCCCCCCCACTCCCTCGCACCCTCCTATTTTGCAGAGCTAAGCAAGATTTCTTTCTTTCTCTCTTTCTTCCCGCCAGGGCCTGACACATTTTTCCAGAAAGAAGAAAACTGGAATAATGACAAATAACTCTTGAAGCTGGAGCTGAGAGGGCACTTCTATAGCTGCCCTTGGGGGGGGGCGGCCTCTTATGCTTGATAGTGTGAGCTAGGGAATTGGCTCCCCATGAAGCCTAGATCCAGGAGGAGCCTCAGAGATGGCTAGAATTGAAAGGGACTTTAGGATTCAATCATCTAGTACAACCTCATCATTCTACAGAAGAGGAAACTGAGATAAACAGGCAAGGGTGGAAGAGCCACTTCTGACCCCAAGTCCAGTGCTTGCTTTCACTGTCTCTTACTGCCTGGCCACCATACGCTACAGAGACTTAGAAGCTAACATTCTGTCTTCTCCCTTTGCAATGTCTGCATCATGCTGGGGCAAACAAAAGGGACAGTGGGTGAGGAACCAGGCACAGCTAAAGACCCCTAGAGGGTGGAGTAGAACTGGCTTATGGGGCCTTCTGCATCAAAGAGAGCACAAGTGGAATGGATGGCCATTTGGGGGCCAATGGGAAGGCCCTTGCCTCCAAACAACCATCCCCACCTCTCTAACCTATGGCTGAAATTCCCCTATTAATTCTTCATTCTTCTGGCACAAGATTCTGTTCTCTGTTACAATGTAAATCCCCGTAAACAGGGGTTACGTGTCTAGTCTTTATCAGTCCCATACACTTGAGTGTGAGTAAGTTTATCAGGGGGTTTTCGCACAGAAGATTTTGATAAGGCAGAGGAATGCAAAAGCTAGATGGTACCAGGGGACCTGGGGTGGGGGGTGGTTCTGGAAAATTTCATGATTTTACCAGATAGATAAGGAAAGTGGAGCCCCCAAAGCTCAAATCAGAGTCATAGAACTTT